AGCTCAGAGGATAAAAGGTCCTTCTGCATAACGTTCACATGCCCCCCCCCCATGTTTAAAAAAAATCAATATTAAAACCAAGCAGGACACTGGCGGATTCTTGCATGGCTGCTGTGTCCTCCAAGTTGGAAATGTGATTTTTAAAAAACACCCAGCTGGACTAGGAAGAACGGAAAATGTTCAACAGTGAGTTCAGAGCCCCAACTCCAGTGGGGCCCGCGTGTGTAGACGGAAGGCCTTTTTGTCCTTGAAACCATTGCTAAATAACTGCAAAGCAGCAAATCTGCTCTCTATTAGATGAGTCCTTTGGAAACATGCCAGTCTAATTTCAAAGAGTTGAGATCCCGTTATCTGAAAACCAGCCCAATGACTAGGAGGCCTGCCGTCAATAGGCCCTGAGATCCCCAGATTAGGGGTACTGGACAAGAAGCCCTCCAGGATGCCTCCCAGCCTCCACCATCTCTGCTTCTGAGGGAGAAGTTCATACCCACAAAAGACACAAAGAGAGGGAGCACTTCCCACTTTTATATTGTTTCCATTGGCCCTCTGCCACTTTTTTTTACTCCTCCCTCTTCTTGCTGCTCCTCCAAATCTCAGCCCCATTTCTTTGTACGTGTAGCTATTTTCCCCAAAGGTGTTTTACTTTCCCAGAAAATGACTATTTCATTTACAAATCGCAGTGTGTTGGAGCTGGAAGGGACTCAGACTCCCAGGTCATGAAGGGGGGGGGGGGGGCAGGAGGAGCAAGGAGGGGGGACGGACTTGCCCAAGATCACTCAGCTAATTAGTGGGAAAAGTGTTCTAGAACACAAGTTTCCCAGCTCCTAGGCTAATTATCTCTTCAATGCAGCGCTGCAGAAAAAAAAAAAAAATGAAAATCAGACCCTTTAAAAAAAAAAAAGAAAGAAAGAAAAGGTTAACTGCATAGAGGCCCCTTTAAAGAAGGAGGGTAGTCCAACTATTGTCAGAACCACTGATCTAAGGTCAGTTTCGCCCATTTCAGAAGCCTGAACAGACACTGAGTTTCCTAGGGATGATCTATTAACAGGTGCATTTTAAGGCTTTAGGTGATTTGCTTAAAATGGGAACAAATTAAACATGCTGGCCAGGCTTGGGGAAAAAAATCCCTTTACTTATTGAAAAGGATCAACAACAGTAAATCTCCTACCTTAAGATGCAGTGAACGTGTAGCCCCCGCCCCCACCCCAGCAACAGGCTATTTCCTGGTTGAGCTTAAAAATTCAATGACGTTCCTGTTTCAACCCACACATCTGTGTCACTGTCAGCGTCAGTGGCAGGAAAACAGACGAAGTCACCCTTTGCTAATGATTTCCTAACATGGAATTTCCTTGTATCTCCTCAAGCCTTTCTTCTTCTAAAGCCAAACTGTTTTTCCCCCTCTCAAACACATTGTACTGAAGGAAAACTGAAAATGGTCACGGCCAGAAGGGATGATTTCTAAGGAGATCTTATAAGGAAGAGCTGCAGATCTTTGGGATATTTTTAATGTGCGTGTGCTGGGGGGGGGGGGAGCTGCTAGTTTTTCTAAAGCCAATAGGAACAAAACGGAGAGATTTCCTCCCAGGCATGGGGGAATATCTCAGCCCCTCTCTTGCCTCCTTCTTCCCAAGTTCCACTTTGAGCAACATTCTTTTACCCGTATTAAAGGAAACATACCACTGTCCCCTGGCATAAGGAGCATGGGGAGAGAGGCCAAGTCAGCACCCAGAGTAGGAGACAGGCGCGCGCGGAGAGCCACCAAAGCACAAAGCAATGTAGAAGCCCATCTCCTTTCTCCTCTGGAGAATATCCTATTTAATATGCAAACTGGTCATCAAGAGAAAAGAGGGATGTTACTTTAAGGCAAAGAAGCTGATTAGCTGCTCTGGCTGGCAGCAAACAGCTGGTCTGTCCGGCAGGTTCAAGGCCATTTCAGCTACTCTCTTATGGAGGCACCATATGTTCCATCTCGCACATCAGCAGCTTTATTTTCCAATGATCTTGCTCCAGAAGGGAAGCACAAAAGGGGGAGGAGAAGGTAGAACCCGCGGTTTACCCTTTGAGTACTTTCTTGTGGTTTTAGATGCAGTTGGGATGTGTGTGTGTGTGTGTGTGTGGGTGGGTGTGGGTGGGTGGGGGGAAAGTTAAAGCTTCACCTTCGATTCCAAAAACCAGAGAACAAATGTTTGACTAACACTGTCGAATAACCTCCAGAGATGGGAGTGGAGTGGATTAGGGGAAAGATACGCAAAAGGTACAAATAATATGTCACCCTGAGATTAAATGGGAAGGGGGACGGAGGCAGCGACAGAGACCGGGAGGAATCTGACTTCGCTCTTTGGACCCCGCCCACTTCTCCTTATTTGTCAATTTTTCTTATTGTCAGTATTCCTTTTCCCAACAGAACAAACTTTACAAGAGAAGCGGACAGCTTTGGGGTGGGGGGAGGTGGGGGCGGAGGCGGGGCAGGCCGACAGGATGGCGAAAGGTTACTTCTAACAGCCTTAACATTCCTCAGTGCAAGTCCGCGTTCCCACAAGTTTGGGGGGGAAGGGCAGGTGTAGAGGATAGGGGCCCGCTAAATTCTCAAGCCAACTAACGCCGGCAGCCCATGCGTAGTGGACACCCCCAGCTGTCCGGCGCTGGGTCCGTGCAGAGGCGACAGACCGACGCACGGTCTGGAGGTGTTTCCCCGTCCCCACTACCCGCCAAGGCTGCACGAACCTCGGAGGTGGCGGTTCCGACTCCCTCCCTGCCTCCAAACAAAGGGGGACCGCGGAGCTTTTGAGCCCCAGTGTGTGCTGTGTTGGGGAAGGGGGGAGAGGGTGGCCGGCAGGAGGGCGCAGGAAGGAGTGAGGAGTGTAGCCGCAGGGTGGCGAAAGCCTCACAGACACTGCTGTCGTCTCAGCCACCCGCGGGCGCGACAGCCGCCCGGAGCCCGGAGGTGAGGGGCCCGGGCTGCAAAGCGAAACCGAGGAAAGGGCGCCCCCTATGCCCGCGCCCGGCGAGCGCAGCGGCGAGCCGCATCTGCCCTTCCCGCGGAGCGTGCTCGGCCTCTGGCCTCCGAGTCCTTCCGTTCGCCGCGCCGCCGCCAGGCCGTCCCGGCCGCTGGAGCCCCGGGTGTCCGCCGCAGGCAGGCGGGGCGCGCGGTGGGCGCCAGGAGCCAGGGTCTCCCCACGCCTTCTGGGGTTCCTGGGGAAGGTCTCCGAAACACAACCCCCTCCCCCACCGCCTACACTTGCCCTCCGGTCCCGAGCGGCTCGAGGCCACTGGGAGGCAGCCGCCCCCGCCCCCTGCCTCTGCGTCCCTTTCCCCCTTCCCTCTCTCCAGCCTCCTGGGAAACAAAGGGGCTTTTTATAAAGCGGATTGTTGGCGGCGGCGGCGGCGGGGGTAGGAGGGAGGGGGGATCTATAAAGACAAGAAGAGGTGGGGTGGTTGGGGGGGGGAGAAGCTGCGCGGCCTCCGGGAGCCCCAAGCGGCCGGGCGGCCGGGAAGCCCCCGCGGGTGCGCGGCCCACCCCGCCCGGCCCGTGGGCACTCGGGCGGCGGCCCGCGCCTGCCAAGGGTTGGGCTGCGCCGCTGCGATGCTGCCCGCCGGCTCGCCGCAGCCTGGGAACACGATCGCGCGGGGCCGGGGCGGTGGGGACCGCACGCTAACCGCGGGGGTCTCCCCTGGGAGACCCGGGCCCTCTTCCCCGCCAACTCTTCGAAATTGCTTGGGCTCAGGGAGACTTTGCGTCTTTGTTCCAGCGCGGCCGCCTCTCGTACGCTCGGCTCGCTCGCCCTCACAGACAATGTCCCGGGGCCGGCCTCGGTCGGCTACCCGCAAACGACACGTTCGCTGTGGGGACGGCACCCCGGGGGGATTCCTTCTGCTGCCAAACGACGACGACAAGCCCACCCCAGCAAGCGGAGTCCCTTGGAGTCCCTTCTCCGCACGTCCCCCAGCCATCCTGTGCTCCCTCCCGCGCGCACACTCACACCCACACTCGGGGTGCCCGGCTCAGCCGCACTGAGCTGCAGGAGCGCGGTAGGGCTAAGCCCCCGGCCCGAGGTGCGTCAGTTTGCTCAGGTTCCGACGACTTCAGGGCAGTTTTCTGGCAGGCTAATCCTATTAGTGTCTGCTCAGTCCGCATTTAATCACGGATCAAAATCAGACGGTCCGGCCAGTTTTCCAAGTGGCTTCGGACACACTGCATCGGGACAGAGCCTAGCCGAGCCAACTGGCCCAGAAAAGTATTTGGCGGCGCTCCGGGGGGCTTCCCGCCCGCCCTTGCCGGCGCCGGGCGCCGGGCTCTGCCGCCGTTCCGAGGCCTGGGAGCTCCGAGCGCGGGGGCGCCGGGGAGCTCCGGGCAGGAGCCCAGTCGGGGCTGCCTTGAGCCGCCAGCTCTGCTCGGGGCTGCTCTCCAGAGGAGGATTTGGCAGGGGAGGGAGCGCCAGGCAGCGGGCTCGGCGCACGCACACTCCACACTCCCGCTCAGTGGCGGCAAACCGGGTTGGGGTGTGTGTGTGTGGGGGGGGGGGGGTGGAATCCTGTGCCCAGCGCCCACTGTCGACTGGCCCAGGCTCAGGGAGCTGGCATGCTATGGGAACGTCGCCGGTGGCATCCGGGCCGCCAGCGGCCCGGGGGGCGCCGGAACGGAGTGGGAGCCTCCCGGTGAGCCCGGCAGGGCCAGAGAAGCCTGTGTGGCTCGCGCCCCTCTGCCTTCCGCACACACACCCCCGCCCCCGGTACTTAACTGCCCCCGCCCGATTCCAGACACCCGATGGGCGCCGGGGAGCAGGCAGAGGCCGAAGTCCCGGGCGATGGGAGCTGCGCTCAGGCCGGCCCGGCCAGTTCGAGAGGGGGGCCGGCCGCGGGTAGCGCCAGGTGGGCCGTGTGCTCGGAGCAAACTTTGGGGTCCCCCGGCTCCTCCGCGACGAGAACCACAAGTAGGGGCCGCAAGTGCACCCCGGAGCCCCCAGAGCAGCCGGACCTCCCGCTCCCGCCCTCAGTCTTACCGTGCTGCGGAGCTCCCTCGGCGGCGGCGGGGGCAATGCCCGAGGGGCGGGCGGCCGCCGGCGCAGGCAGCCTGGCCTCGGGCACCCGCCGAGTGGCCCGGCCCGGTTGCAGATCACCCCCTGGCTAGCGGCCGGTGCCCCCGCGCCCGCCCGCCGCCGGCTGCTTCAGCTCGCGGCCAAGTTCATGCCGGCGGCGCTGCGGCGGCGGCCTCAATCTGCTCGCTCCATTCCCACCGCCCGGCTCCGCGCCGCGCGCCCGGAAGGTGGAGTTTCGGGGGTTTAAGTTACTGATAGGCATTTCTCACTGCTGTGTCACTCGGGGAGGAGGAGACACGCACGCCGCACACTCACACACCCTCACACTCACGGCGACGAGCGGCTCCGGCCTTAAAGGGGAAGCCGCGCTGCCCCGCCCGCGACCCCGCCAGCCCTGAGCCCCGAAACGCTGAGTTTCCCGGCCGCATGGGGCCGGGGGCAGCGGAAGCGCGGCGGCCGCCCAAGGGGCCTCCCCGGCCCTCCTGCCACTCTTCGAAAGGGAAAACGGCCGCAGGATGGCTTCGCTGCGGTCGCCTCGTTTCTCCAGTGCACTCGATCCAGGGCAGCCGGGGAGTGCGGCAGGGAAGGAAGGGCCACCGCCGCACTTACCTCGGTGGATCCGCGCGCAGCGGGAGGCGGTCGCTGCCCTCAGCGGCAGGTGGCCCGTCTAGACGGTGCGCTGATGGGGAGGAGCGACAGAGGGGTGACCGAGGGCCCCTGGGCACGAGCGGATGGAGCTCGCCCGAGGGCAGCAGGCGGAGCCCCGCGCGCTTGGGAAACCCGCACACGGCAGGTAGCCTTCCCGCGTTCTGGGCAGAGCTGGCTGGTGAGCCGTGCGCGCCCCTGACAGACGAAGAGCGAGCGGGGAGAGCGGGAGAGCCAGCACTCACCAGCGACAGGGCGAGACAGCGCGCGACACTGGCAGAGACCGAGGGGGACAGAGGGAAAGACGGAAACCGAGAGAGGCACTGCCGGCAGAGCGAGAGAAAACGACGGAACGACGAAGATAGAGTGCTAGAGGGACGCCCGGGGGCGGGGGGGGGGGAGAGCGAAAGCAGATCCCTGGAAGACACCGGAGCGTCACAGGGACCAGAGTCTCACCGTAAAGTAGCCTGTCCAATCCCTCCCCCTCCCACACACACACCCCTTTCCCATTCTGAGCGGAGACTGAGCCCGGAGCTGGCGGCCGGACCCCCTCCCCCCTCGCCCTGGGAGGGCGCTCACCTTCAGTGGTGGCTGCTGGGTGGGTAGCGCCCGTCCCACTGGCGACGCGTCTGCTAGCTGGCTCCCGCCCGGACAGCCAAGCCGACCTGCTGTGACGGCAGTGGGGACCAGTGCTCTCAGGTGGAGGCTACTGAACTGCAACCCCCCCCCCCCCGCGCGCGCGCGCCTCGCCTAGCATCCTCCTTCCCCCTCTCCTGTCCCCCGCCCTCTCCCTCATCCCCTCCTCCACTGCCCGCCCCCACCCCCGCCTCCGCGCAGACCCTGTCTGTGCCGCCGGCCGGTATGCTCAGCCAGGAGCCCAGGCGCGCCAGCCCGTCTCCCTCTCCACTGGCTCGCCGCCCGCGAAGCCCCTTCCCGAGCTAGGCGGGACCGGCCCCCTCTCTGCAAGGGGTTATCCCGGGGCAGACACCTGCGGCTTCTGCAGGAACATGAGTTGCTTGTGAACCGCCCAGCGGGCCAGAGAGCGCTATCCGCCCTCTGTCCTGGCGCGGAGGCCAGCGGCTCCCCTCCCCCGCTACCCGGGGGGGACTGGCCTGCGCCCCTTCTCCAGGGTCCCCGGCCGGGGTGCGTTTCCTAACCTGGACTTCCTGGGTGGTAGCAGCGCCGGGGGCTGAGCTCAGCGCACCGACGCCGCGTCTGGTCCGACAGCAGCAGCGCCCGCGAAAGCCCCAGAGCCCAGTCACAGCTCCTGCCCGCACCTCTGAGTAGCGACCTGTCTCCACCACATCTGGTCGCGCTCCGCCGAGCCGCGGGCCAGGAATAAAGGGGTGGGCCCGCCGCCCACTCGGCCCCTCCTTCTCTCTGCGCCCACGCCCTCAGCCCGCGGAAAGCGCTGGGGCCCCCTGTGAGAACCAACCAAAGTCCCTTCGTGGGCTACGTAGGCGAGACGGAGCTGGGCGCTTGCCTCCCAGCGTTTCCCAAAGTTCCCAGGCTGAGGAGCGGCGTCCCTGCCCTACCGCGAGGCACAGGTGTCAGACCCCTTCTCCACAGCCCCGGTGCGCCAGGGCGAGCGTGGCCCGACGAGGCACCTTGCAGGTGCAAGGCTCAGCCAGGCTGTTGGATAGGAATCCACCTTGGCCCGGTCCAGCGGAGGCTGCTCTGGAAAGGGCCAGCGGCCTGGAGAAGTTATTGCTCTCTGGGGATCGAACTGATCGCAGTCCCTACCCTCACCCCTGACAAGGCCGCAGTGGGGTCCTGGCCCCTGGCCTGTCGCTTCCTGCAAGGAGGGGGAGTCATCTGAGAGCCACCACGACGCCGTCAGCAAGAGAGAACTCAGGAGTGTCTTGAAGACATTCGGATTAAACACAGCGGACCAGGGGATAACTGAGTCTACCACAGAGCATTGCAGAGTGCTTTTAAAATTTGATCCTCCTCCTCAAAGTGCCCTGGTCCAGGAGGTGGAAGATGGGGCTCTGTCCCCAGACCCTTCCACTCTGCCCTCAGGTCACTTCCCTCTGCTTCCCCAGTGGGATGGGTGATGTCCACGCCCCCAAGTGTCCTGGGAGCCTGTGAGGTGACAGCTGCACCTGCGTCAGACGGCCAGTTGCCTGCTTGGCACCGCCACCTGGATGGCCACTAGACATCTCAAACTGCACATGGCCCGAGCTGAGCTCCTGGTCATGTCCAAACCAACTTCTCCTGACGTCTGCCACCTCAGTTCATGCCAGCTCCATCATTCAAGTTGCCCCAGCTGGGTTCCCTGCAGTCTTCCTTGATTCTTCTCTTACGCTCACCCCACATCCAGAGAAGCGGACAATTCTGTTTCCATCTTGAAAGTGCATCCACAATCCCAACCCTCTCTCCTTCTCCACCACTACTCTCGGGCCCAGTACTGGAGTGACTACTCCAGTAGTCACCTAACAGGTGGCTCTGTTTCCTACCCACCCCCCACCCCCAGTCACCTTCCTCCCCAAATCCCAGTCCAATCCCTAACGTCTGTGCATCTGCAGTATCTCCCCATTTCACCTGGTAAAAGGGAATTGCTTCTGGTGGCCTAGAAAGGCCTGCGCGACGTGCCCCCCACCCCAGTCTGGATGGTATCATCTTCCCTCTTGCCCTCCCTCACTCTGCTAGTGAGCTCCAGGCTTCCCCGCTCTTCCCCAACACACCAGGTACATCCCTTCCTAGGGCCTTAGCACCGGCCGTTCCTGCTACTGGAACGCATTTTCCCAGAAATCTGTGGGGGCTGGCTCGCTCCTTTCCTTTAACGTGGACACCTGGTCTCCCTATGTAACATTTCAAAGCCCCACACCCATCTGTGGCACTTCCTCTGGCCTTCCCTGCTTTGTTTTCTCTTTAGCACTTACCACCAGCTGACCTCTATAGGTTAGAATCCTGGGAGGGCTACTCCAGGGCCCGTTTTACTCTCTGCTGTCTTCCCTGCTCCTAGCACAGTGCCTGGCAGGGAGTATCTGCTCAATGAATGTTAGTTGGATTCTGTTTTCCCGGGGAATTTTCAGGAAACTCTGGGGGCCACGGAACTGGACACACACACTGGGAAAGGGGTGCATAGCTGTGGTACATTTTAAGGAGTTTCATGACCTGAGCAAAGGTGAGGCCAAGAGCTTTGTGTTAGCGCCATGAAACCAGCCTCAGGTCGTGTCACCGAGGGGCACTGTGATCCAGATGTGCTGTGCTTCTTTCAGTTACTGTTGGAAACAGAGTGTCCATTACGATTGTCACCTTGGGTATCCTGAGGCTGACGGAGACATGGGAGAAGTAAGCCCGAAACAGAGGCTGGGTGAGGGCTTCCTCTCACCGAAGAGACTCGCTCTGAGACCTTTTTGTCACCCAAAATGCAGACCCAGTCTGGAGCTAACAGCTCCCTGCAGTTACCTAGGCTTACTCTGTGTTTCATCTGCATGAATCCAGGTACACAATGAGGTGTGAGCCATCATCAGCTCCATGTTCTAGATGAGGAAACAGGAGGCTCAGAGAGGTGAAGGGACATGTCCAGGGTCACACAGCTTGAGAGTTGCAGAGCAGAAAACAACTGGGCCTCAAAGCTCAGGCTGCTTCTCCCTGCCATGTGGCCATTCACATTTAATGTGTACAGTCCCGGCTCTAGGCGAGGAAAGGAATTCCACAGGGCTCTCGAGGGGCTGCTCTTCTCCTGGGGGAATCTTCTAGCCTTGCTGCTGAGAGGCTGTCAGGAGACTGGCATAGCTTGGGCTATGCGGGTCCAGGGGCGTCATGCCAAGGCTGATGCGGGCCCTGCCTTTGGTCTGACCCAAGCCTGGAGCTCAAGGGGTATGAAAGCCATCAGTGGTCATCTGTCATTCATTGTCCTATTCCTATGACACATGCTAAGTTTTCCCAAGTTCTTGTGACAAATGCTGGGGGCTTAACTGGGCAGCCTCTAGAATTTAGAAAACAGGCATGCTGACTGCAGATAAGAAACACACATCCGCTTGCTCTATTCTTCATTACTCCTCTGCTCCAAAGCATCCTGTGGCTCCCTACTGCTGGTGGCCCTGAATCCCCGCTCCTCAGCCTGGCATTCAATGCCCTCTATTGTGTGGGCCCCGGCCTCCGGTTCGAGATCCATCACCTGTTGCTTTCACACATGCCGCTGGGCCTCCTGCCTGGCTGGGCTGTTCATTGGACACCAAACAATTCCTAGTTCTTCCCACCTCTGCACCTTGGCCCATGCATCCCCCACCTAGAATTCAAAATCCCACCCTTGGCCATCCACAGCCCTGTCTGATCTCTGTGATTCTGCAGGCCCTTGCCCTCGGCTCCTCCCATTTCACTGTTTTACCAGAGACTTTGGGGATTTCCCCAAAGCCTCTCTGATGAACTCATGGCTAGAGGGGGTTCAGGGTGCCCTCTGGATGAGAGAGTCCAGGTCCAGAGGGGAGAAGAGAGGTAATGGATATGGCATCTCCCTCCCGCCAGCCCCCCACCATAGAGGTTGTTGGCTGTGCCCACCTGGAGGTCACCCCTTCCCCCTGCTCCCCTGCCTCTCCCCTGGCTCCCG